TATACGTTAATTGGTCCAGTTTTGAACGGATCACTTTTTACTGACGTGACAACCATAGTTCCACTAGTAAAAACAAATATTTATTACACAATTAAATAAAGTCCATATAATTATCAATTGTACTAGAAACGGCAGTAAAGCTCTTCTTTAAAGTGCGTTTAACCCCTAACTTGATATTTTCAGTATTGATTCTACATAAAGTGAATAGTTGAATGGTAATTATTGATATGATTTGARCGATGCATCCTGTCAAGGTTTATACTTCCGACATATGTTAATGAGTGTGATGTCATTATAGGAATTTGAGATTATTTGTCATCATTTGTAAGTCGTTGAAACACTGATTATTATTAGAGAACAAATTTGCAATAAACTTTCTACAATCCCTAAGTAAAACAATGATGTTGTATACTGGATATTTTTTTGCCCCGAGAAAAGTTTTATATATTCAATAATGCCTATAATAACATCAACCCTATTAGCATATTGGAAGTATAAACCTTGATATCTCCAAAATAATTTACCATTCAACTTTTCATTTGCAATATAGATGCAATCCTGAAATTATGGGGTGAAGTACATTTCAAGACTCTCAGCAAGAGGGGCATGCACAAAAACAAAAATGGTCACGTGATGATGCAATTGATCATCACTTGATTTGACATTTTTTTAAACCCGGACCACTGTCCAAAATAAATGGTGGCTACGGCACTGATATCGATGTTTGTAAACCTGTARCAGTGGATAAGTTGCAGTAATGGAGAGACTTTACACATGTAATCAATACTCCTTGSCTAGGGCGTAATGTTTCCCCATTTCAGACCCCCGTGTCATTCTCTAGAGTATCATTTCTTTGTTTAACGGTTGTACATGGGAAGTCACATAAATATGGATACAACTCAACCGAAGAATCTTATTCTCAAGAGAATGACACGGGGTCTGAAATGGGAAAACATTACCGGAKCCCGAGCAGAGGAGAAGCCGTTTTTTTTCTAGACTGAACTAAGACTTGCGAATTTTGTCTAGGGAAGGATAATATGAATCKCTCACGTGCAACTCGCCAAGATCCCCATTWCGATCATAGAAGGGGTTTCCTCTACAGCWYTTCTCTGCTTGTTTAGGCTATTAGATCRTGCAATTRWTTTACCAAATAACCAGTGGTAAAAKGAKTAGAAATATGGTWTGATTGTAAACGATRATATGAAGGAATTAGTATGAGAAACGCGACAATGTCAGACCAATAACAGTTAGGAATATCGACCCCCTTAACTGCCAGACACTGCTTAATAGGCCACCTGTTAAAGATAAGAAAAGWCCAATTTAGGGATAACCTTTATAGGAATTTGAAGGAAGCTAAATGCATATGACATTTATAGCGAGCATGGTGCATTGAGGTCTAGGTTGGGTACAAGTATCCCCTCCCCCCTCCCCCTTCATCAKACCTTAAATGGTGTCGTTTGTACCGAAACTAGATAAAAATGCACCTTCAATTTGCAGATTTTCAAAAAGAAACATAGGAATAATTTAGAGCTTGACGTCACCCATATGGGAAAATAAATCCCCGGGTCCAAAACAAAAAGCACTACTATTAAAAATATATCAATTTTTCTTCCCGACAGGATTTGTCGTCCGAAGTTCTAATTGTTTCTGGTGGAGGATAAATCATTAAGAATTTTTTGCTTTATTTTAGAGTCGTGAACAGCTGGGTTTGGATTAAAAGCCTTTAAAGGGTTGAAAACAATAAAACCATAAATAATGCTCTTACCTTTTCTGATTGTAAATTTGATTTGATTAAGGGTTGTGCATTCGGATTCTGAAAAGCAAAATAAATAACATATAAACAAAGTTTATTTTATACCGCTGGCTGTTTCCTTTTGAGAAAGGAAATATCTAAGAATATTTTACCTATGCAGGTACAGTCTGGTTTCTTTCCCCAGATAGCAAGGTAGATAGGAGGACACGTGCTAATATTGTATCCTGGTAAAAAAAGGGTATTATTAATAGCTATTGATTGTCATGAGGGATGGAGGGATGGAGGGATGGATTAAATACGTTACACTTAGTATTTACCCAAGCAAGGGTGCAGTATTTCGATATTTAGCGCTTGTCCAACAGCTGAAACAAACAAAGTAGAATTCGATTTGAGTATCATAGATAGCAAGAAAAAAAATTAACAAAAAATTTGAAACGCACCAACACCCGAAGCAAAATAAAAAAGGAAGAAAAAAAAGAAAGAAAAAAAAAGGAAGAAAGAAAGAAAGAAAGAAAGAAAGAAAGAAAGAAAAGAAACAAAACCAAAAACGAACAAAAACAAACAAACATTTTCATTTATTCACTCTTAATAGGAAAATGTAATCATTTTAACATTGGTATCAATATTAATGTTTATTGTGCTGCGCAACTGTTAATCAAAGAAATGGTACTCTAGGGAATGACACGAGGTCGGAAATGGGCAMATCTTTACACTCAAGCTAAAGGGGACTTTTTATTGTTCTGACTGATTTGACTGACTATGTATATTTGAAAATAAATCCTGAATAACTAATGAGCATTTAGACCTATCAGGTCCTTCAAATCCATCACGTGCATGAATCTTTATACCCGATAATAGTTCATCATGGATCGATGGATATCTTTATATACAAAGATTTCGAATCCTTTATGAAGGACCAAAAGAGTACAAGAGCATGGTACGAATAAGAACCCTAAATGCTCCTTAATCACTCATGAATTATTGAAGTCGTTCAATAAACTCGTAGATCGTGTTTTATCAGGTCT